CAGATTAAGAATGTTTCCTTCTTTCAATTTTTTTTTTTAGTTTTTTTTTCTTTTATTTTTTTGAGATGGAGTTTCGCTCTTGTTACTCAGGCTGGAGTGCAATGGTGCGATATTGGCTCACTGCAACCTCCGCCTCCTGTGTTCAAGCAATTCTCCTGCCTCAGCCTCCCGAGTAGCTGGGACTACAGGAGTGCACCACTATGCCCAGCTAATTTTTGTATTTTTAATAGAGACGGGGTTTCACCTTGTTGACCAGGATGGTCTCAATCTCTTGACCTCGTGATCCACCCACCTCAGACTCCCAAAGTGCTGGGATTAGAGGCGTGAGCCACCACACCAGGCGGTTTTTTTTTTTAAATCAAAAAATATGATTAGATTTTCTCAGTTGTTTTTTCTGCATCCTTTGAGACAATCATGTGGTTTTTGTCCTTTATTCTATTAATAGGGTGTATTATGTTGATTAATATTCATATGTTGAACAAATCTTGTATTCCTGGGATACATTTCACTATGTCATGGTGTATTAGTCTTCTTACAAGTTTCTAGATTTGCTTTGCCAGTATTTTGTTGAAGATTTTTATGTGTATTCATAAGGGATATTGATCTGTAGTTTTCTTTCTTGTCTGATGTCTTTGTCTAGTATTAGTATTAGGTTAATACTGATCTCAAAGAATGAGTTAGTAGGTTCTCCTTCATTTTCTTTATTTTGGAAGAGTCTGTGAAAAGTCGGTATTAATTCTTCTTTAAACATTGGATAGAATTCACCAGTTAAGCCATTCGGTCCTGGGCTTTGGTTTGTGGGAAGTGATTTGATTATTAATTGCTTTGTTAGAATTCTATTCAGATTTTCTATTTCTTTTTGAATTGGTTTGATAGTTTTTGTCTTCCTAGGAATTTCTCAAATTTCCTCTAGATTATCTAGTTTGTTGGATTACAATTATTGATAATATTCCATTGTAAACATTTTTTTTTTTTTTTGAGACAGGGTCTTGCTCTATCACACAGGCTGGAATGCAGTGGTGCAAGCATGGCTCACTGCAGCCTTCCTTTCCCAGCCTCAAGCAATCCTCTCCCACCTCAGCCTCCATAGTAGCTGGGATTACACGCATGGGCCACCACACCTGGCTAGTTTTTTTTTTAAACGAAGTCTCACTCTGTAATCAGGGTAGATTGCAGTGGCACAATCTCAGCTCACTGCAACCTCCGCCTCCCAGGTTCAAGCGATTCTCCTGCCTCAGCCTGCCGAGTATAACCATGCCTGGCTAATTTTTTGTATTTTTAGTAGAGATGTGGTTTCACTGTGTTAGCTAGGATGATCTCGATCTCCTAACCTCATGACTTGTCCTCCCAAAATGTTGGGATTACAGGGGTGAGCCACTGCGCCTGGCCAATTTTTGTATTTTTTTGTAGAGATGGGGTTTCTCCAAGTTGTCCAGGCTGGTCTTGAACTCCTGGACTCAAGCAATCTTCTCGCCTTGGCCTCCCAAAGTGTTGGGATTACAGGTGTGAATCACTGTGCCCGGCTTATAAGCCTTTCTCTTTCTGTAAGATTGACAGTAATGTTATTTCTTTCCTGATTTAATAATTTCAGTTCTTCTCTACTGTTTTCTTGTCAGTGTAGGTAAAGATTTGCCAGTTTTGCTGATCCTTACAAAAACCAACTTTTGCTTTTATTGATTTTCTCTATTAATTTTTATTTTCTATTTCATTTATTTCTGCTCTACTCTTTATTATTTCTTTCTTCTTCTTGCTTTGAGTTTAGTTTGCTCTTATTTTTCTAGTCTCTTAAGATGGAGGTTTAGGATATTGATTTGAAATCTTTCTTAGTTTATTAATATTGGCATTTACAGCTATAAATTTCCCTCTAAGCATTGCTTTAGCTGCATCCCATATGTTTGACATGTTGTGTTTTCATTTTCATTCATCTCAAAGTATTTTGTAATATGCTTGAAATTTCTTCCTTTTTGTTTTTTATTGATACATAGTACTTATATGCCTTTATGGAGTACCTGTGATATTTTGTTACATGCATAGGATCTGTAAAGATCAAGCCGAAGTATTTAGAATATCTATCACTTTGAGCATTGGTCAGTCAAAACTGTGTTAATATCCACATTTGTGAATTTTACAAGTTTTCTTCTGGTAATAATTTATAATTTTATTTTATTGTGGTTAGAGAATATACTTTATATATTTTCTGTCATTTTACATTTATTAAACCTTGTTTTATGGCCTACCATATGGTCTATCTTTGAGAATGTTTCTTGTGCACCTAAGAAGTTCTTTGCTTTTGTTGGGTGGAATGTTCTATAGATGTTAGTTCTGGTTGTTTATAGTATCGTTCAATACTATATTGAACTTTATCTATATTGAACTATATCTATTTTCTTGTTGACCTTCTGTCTAGTTATCCCGTCTGTTATCATAATGGGTTATTGAAGTATCCATTATTATTACATTTTTGTCTTCTTCCTTCTTCAATTCTGTTGAGTTTTGTTTCATGTATTTTGAGACTCTGTTGTTAGATTCATGTGTGTTTATACAGGTTAATTTCCTTAATCAGAAAATCTGACATCTGAAGCACCTCAAAATTCAAACCTTTTTGAGTGCCAGCATGACTCCACAAGGAACAAATTCCAGTCCTGACCTCACATGCTTTCTGATGGTTCAATATACCTGTATATAAACTTTGTTTCATGCATGAAATTATTATTATTATTTGAGACAGAGTCTTGCTCTGTTACCCAGGCTGGAGTGCAATGGCACAATCTCAGATCACTACAACCTCTGCCTCCTGGGTTCAAGCAATTCTCCTGCCTCAGCCTCCTGGGTAGCTGGGATTACAGGTGCGCACCACCATACCCAGCTAATTTTTGTATTTTTAGTAGAGATGGGGTTTCACCATGTTGGTCAGGCTGATCTTGAACTTCTGGCTTCATGTTCTGTTCACCTTGGCCTCCCAAAGTGCTGGGATTACAGGTGTGAGCCACTGTGCCCAGCCTCATGCATAAAATCATTAAAAACATTGTATAAAATTACCTTCAGACTATATATACAAAGTGCATATGAAACATAAATGAATTTCTTGTTCAGACTTGGGTCTCATCCCCAGAATATCTCATGTATGTGCAAATATTTCAAAATCTAAAATGCTTTTGGTCCCAAGCACTTTGGATATAGGATACAGCCTATAATTTTTGTGTAGATTGATCCTTTTATCATTATAAAATTTCCTTTTTCATTTCTCATAAAATATCTTTGTCTTACCAACTATTTTATCTGATCTTAGTATAGCTACTCCACCTCTCTTTTAGTTACTGTTTTCATGGCGTATTTGTTTCCATCTTTTTACTTTCAACTTATTTGTGTTTTTGAATCTGAAGTGTGTCTCTGTAAATAGCACATAGATGAATAATGTTTTAAAATCCATTCTGTCAGTATTTGCTTTTTGATTGGAGTGTTTAATCCATTTATATTTACTGTAATTACTAATAAAGTACAATGTCCATTTTGCATTTACTATTTGTTTTCTATATATATTGAATCTTTTGTATTCCTCTATGTGTCCATATTGTCTTCTTTTGTATTAGATAGGTATTTTCCTGTGTACCATTAAAAAATACTTTTCTTTTCTCCTTTACTATAGGTTTTTTGAAGTTAATTTCTTAGTGATTGCCCTGGGGATTGTAATTAACAACTTGTAATAATAAAGTTCAGATTTATACCTTTTTAATTTTAATAGCATATATAAGCTTTAAAAAATATAATTCTATTACCTCCCTCATAATTTGTGCTGTTTTTGCCATAAAGATTACATCTTTACATATTGTATACCTATCACTACAGTTTTTTTTTAAATTAAGAGATAGAGTCTCATTCTGTCACTCAGGCTAGAGTTCAGTGGCATGATCATAGCTCACTGCAGCTTTGAACTCCTAGACTCAAGTGATTCTCTGCCTCAGCCTCCTGAATAGCTAGGATGGCAAGTGTGTGCCATCATGCCTGGTTAATAAAAAATTTTTTGGTAGAGACAGGGTCTCACCACGTTGCCCAGGCTAGCCTCAAACTCCTGACATCAAGCAGTTCTCCTGCCTTAGCCTCCCAAAGTGCTAGGATTACAGGTATTAGCCAACACACCTGGCCTCCATACAATTTTAACACCATGCAAAGATTAGGGTTATGCTTCTATAAGCCAAGAAAGCACAAAAATCTAGGAGAGAAGTTTGGGACACACTCTTTCCTACCACTCTCAGATAAAGCATCCATGCCAGCCACCCTGATCTCTGACCTGCAGACACCTTGTTCTCAGACTTCCAGCTTCCAGAACTGTGAGATAATCATTTATTTTTATTTTATTTGTTTATTTTGAGACAGAGTCTCATTCTTTTCGCCCAGGCTGGAATGCAGTGGCGCAATCTCAGCTCACTGCAACTTCCGCCTCCAGGTTCAAGTGATTCTCCTGCCTCAGACTCTTGAGTAGCTGGGATTACAGGTGCCTGCCACCACGCCTGGCTAATTTTTGTACTTTTAGTAGAGATCGGGTTTTGTCCTGTTGGCTAGGCTGGTCTCCAGCTCCTGACATCAGGTGATCCACTCACCTCAGCCTTCCAAAGTGTTGGGATTACAGGCATGAGCCACTGTGCCCGGCTGAGGTGGTTTAAATTTACGCTGCTGAGTTTGTAGCACCTTGTTACGGCATCTCCAGCGAACTAACGCAGTTCAGATATGAGTACAAAATGGTTTAGCTTTTGTCTAGCTCCAGTGCAGTCACATAATGGCCCTGTCTGACGTTGGTGTTCTGTAAGACTGTTTATGTTCCACAAGAAAAACACCAGGTCCCAACCATGAGTGCCTGGTGAGCTCCCCAGTGCCAGGGGCTGCTTTTCTCTTTCTCACTACAAGGTCTTTATTCATCAGATAAATGTTCATTTTATGTTGTCTTTAAGGGCTTATACTAATTCTTTTCTTTCTGTTTTTTTTTAAATTTATTTTTATAACAGGATCTCACTCTATCGCCCAGGAGAGCAGTGGCACAATCATAGCTCACTGCAGCCTCAATCTCCCTGGCTCAAGCGAACTTCCTGCCTCAGCCTCCCAACATAGCTGGGACTACAGGTGAGTGTCATCACGCCCCACTAATTTTTTTATTTTTTATTTTTAGTAGAGATGAGGTCTGGTATGTTGTCCAGATTGGTCTCGAACTTCTGGTCTCAAGGATCTTCCTACCTTAGTCTCCCAAAGTGCTGGGATGACAGATCTGAGCCACCATGCCTGGCCTAATTCTTTTTTTAAACATTTAAATATTCAATCCAGCTGCCATTTATTTTGGAGTGGGGGATGGAGGGAGAAATGTGTGGCCTCAGGTAGAGGGTGTAAGGTTAGAAGTGATTATAACGGTGTTGGGGCTGAAGCTGCTGAGGTCTGCATGGACCTGGGTGGTTGACCTGGCAGGTGCTGTGGTCTGAATGTTTATGTTCCTCGCAACTTTGTATGTTGAAATCCTCAGCCTCAAGGTGATGGTATTAAGAAGTGGTGCCTCGGGCCAGGCGCGGTAACTTACGCCTGTAATCCCAGCACTTTGGGAGGCCGAGATGGGTGGATCACGAGGTCAAGAGATCAAGACCATCCTGGTCAACATGGTGAAACCCTGTCTCTACTAAAAATACAAAAAATTAGCTGGGCATGGTGGCGCGTGCCTGTAATCCCAGCTACTCAGGAGGCTGAGGCAGGAGAATTGCCTGAACCCAGGAGGTGGAGGTTGTGGTGAGCCGAGATTGCGCCATTGCACTCCAGCCTGGGTAACAAGAGGGAAACTCCGTTGGGAAAAAAAAAAAAAAAAAAGAAGTGGGGCCTTTAGGAAGTGATTTGGTCGTGGAGCAGAGTTCTCATAAATGGAATTGGTGCTCTTACAAAAGAGGCCTGAGAGAAACCCCTCACCCCTTCCACCACAGGAAGATGCAGCAAGAAGGGTGGCACCTGTGAAGTACAAAGTGGGACCTCACCAGACAGCAAATATGCTGGTGCCTGATCTTGGCTTTCCAGCCTTCAGAACTATGAGAAATCACTTTTGGTTACAAGCCACCCAGTTTATGCTGTTTTGCTCTAGGAGCCCAAAAGGACCAAGACACAGCTACCGAGGCTGGCTTAGACCAATCGTTTTTAATTCCCCTTAAGTTGACTTGTACATAGAAATGACCTCAGAACAACCACTCAGAGCATGCTTTTCCTTGTTGCTTTTGATGGAAGGAACAGTGCCAGGCCACCCATTGAAGTTACCACGTGTCATGGCTGTGAGTGCCTTCACTACTTGGAGTAGGCTCATTAGCAGACAACCCTCCCAGAGCCCTACGTGCAACCGGCATCTATATGGTCTGTTCGGGTAAGTGCAGTTCAGGATCAATTATGGATGAGGCTCCACAGCAGATGAGTAAGTGGGCTGTTGTCTACTTTGAAAAATTAATGGGACCTGATTAATACAGGAGAACACTCCCTCTCTTCCTCAACCCAGAGAGGCTCGGATCTCTGCGGAAGCTTGGGGGTTGGCGTTGGGGGAGGAAGCAGCTCCTGTGTCTGTGGGTGTTAGGTTTGATTCATAGGATCATGCTTTGGAACTTTCTTCTCCTTTGACAGATGAGGCTGCTGAATTCCATCAGGGTGAATCAATTTGCTCAGACAGGTAGAAGGAAAGAGAACAGTCAATTATTATTTTTAAAATTTAAAAGCTTTTCTCATATGGAAATTAAAAACATTTACAGAAGTAGAGAGAGATTGATATCATGTAGCCATTCTCAAACTTTTTGATCTTAGGAATGTTTTATACTTTCAAAAAATTATTGAGGACCTCAAGGAGCTTTTGTTTATTTGGGCTGCACTGTTGATACTAGACATTGAAATTCGGACGCTTATAAATATTAACTCTTAAAAATAACAAGAATCCCATTACATGTTTAACACCAGATAACATTTTTGTTTTTGACACTTTATTTCTACTATAAGCTTTCAGATGACAATTATACATTCTCCTTTAGATTTTATTTCATTTTTATTGTAGTAAAATATATGTAACAGGAAATTTATCATTTTAACCTTTTTTTTTTTTTTGAGACAGTCTTGCTCTGTCGCCCAGGCTGGAGTGCAGTGGTGTAATCTCGGCTCACTGCAACCTCTGCCTCTGAGGTTAAAGTGATTCTTGTGTCTCAGCCTCCTGAATTGCTGGGACTACAAGCATGTACCACTATGCCTGGCTAATGTTTATATTTTTAGTAGAGATAGTGTTTTGCTATGTTGGCCAGGCTGCTCTTGAACTTCTGGCCTCGAGCAATCCACTCACCTCAGCCTCCCAAAGTGCTGGGATTACAGGTGTGCACCACTGCACCTGGCTCCGTCTTAACCATTTAAAATGTACAGTTCAATGGCATTGCGTACACTCGCATTGTGTGTAACCATCACTATTATCCATTTCCAGAATCTTTTCCTCATCTCACAGTGAAACTGTGTCCCCATGAGCAACTCTCCATCCGCCTCCCCCAGCCCCTTATGAGTGCTGTTCTACTTTCGGTCTCTCTGATTTTCACTACTCTGGGTATTTCATGTAAGTGGCATCATGTAATGTTTGTCCCTTTGTGAATGACTTATTTCACTTATCATAATGTCCTCAAGATTCATCCAGATGCTGTAGCCCGTGTCTGAATCGCCTTCCTTTTTGAGGCTGCATGTTCCCTTGTATGTATACACCACTGAGTGTCCATCTGCTCATCCATTGATGGAGACTGGGGTTTTTCCCACCTTTTGGCTACTGTGAATGCAAACACTGGTGTACAAAGATATATTTTTGAGACTCCACTTTCAGTTCTTTCGTGTGTTTACCCAGAAGTGGAATTGCTGAATCGCACGGTAATTCCAATGTTTTATATTTTGAGGAATCGTCACGCTGTGGTCCATCGTGACTGAACCATTTTATATTCTCACCAGCAGTGTGCCTGTGCTCTAATTTCTTCACCTTCATGTCAACACACGGATTCTGTTTTTATATAATAGCAATCCAAATGTTAAATACATTCTTAATTTAAAAAACCCCATATTTCCCAAATAAAAACATTTGTGAGAAAAGGACATTGTTTTACATTTTGTAAATCTTGAATGTTCGGCTGACTGAGCAGCTGGAGTCTCATATCTGCTTTTTCATTTAATCTTTGTGACATCACATGCCATGTGGCCTCTGGAAACTCCACAGTACCCTCATGGGAAAAGGAGAGAGAGAAAGGCAAATGACATGCTAGTATTATTAGGAAAATAGGGCTTTTTTTTGAGATAGAGTTTCATTCCGTCACCAACCCAGGCTGGAGTGCAGTGGCAGTGCGGTCTCAGCTCACTGCAACCTCTGCCTCCCTGGTTCAAGTGACTCTCATGCCTTAGCCTCCAAAGTGGCTGGGACTATATGCATCCGCCACCGTGCCTAGCTAATTTTTGTGTATTTTATAGAGATGGGGTTTCACCGTGTTGGCCAGGCTGGTGTTGAACTCCTGATCTCAAGAGATCCACTTGCCTTGGCCTCCTAAAGTGCTGAGATTACAGTCATGAGCCACCATGCCTGCCCAATATTATACTGTTTTCTAAACTTGACCTCAGACCATGAGCACACCTGCTGGGTTGGCCCTGTCTGTGTCTTTTTCCCACTGGGACTTTGGGAAAAGCTCCTGTTTCCCTCCCTGCCTTCATCTCTCACAAGTGGGGGCTCTTTTGGTAGCTTTTTGAGTAGCCCTCTAGCCAGGCCTCGCATAGGCTGCTGGACAGATAGCTGAACTGGATGCAGCTGTTTGAAGCAATTCTGGATATTGTGTTCTGAATCATGAGTGGAAACACTTCCACTCACTGTAGAATTAGTGGAGTTCACACAATACAGGATCCAAGGTCATCCAGTCCTGACCCTCTCCCCAGACTGAAACCCTCTGAAACGCTCTGCTCAAAGGGCATCTGACCTCTGCTTGTATACCTCCAGTGACAGGGAACTCACTACCTACCTCAGCAGACAGCCAGACCATAGATGGTGCTCTCTATGAACATGCCACCACCTTACATATCATTGTGGGAACAACCCAGATTCATGCTGTGGTGGGAAAAACTCAGACTGGGAGTTGAGATTCCTGGGTGTAAGATTGCGATCACTGTGGTTAAGCCCCATCCTTGGAGTGTTTCAATTTCTTCCCTGTGAAGAGCACTTATCTCTGGTTCCTTTTACCATTAATATTCTGATGTATTTTCTAATTTGGCCACCTAGTCTACAGGAGCAGCCTTGAAGGACTTGGAGAAACTGAGTCCCTTTAAGTGTGGCCCTCACCATCCTTCCTGGTGCACTGTCTCCAGCTATCCATCCAGAACCATCCCAGTCTGCTCCTGGCCTCTGCATGGAGCCTGACCCCAACACAGACCTCCCAAGAGGTTCTGGATTCACTGATGCTGCTCCAGCCCTGAGCAAAAACGCAGCTGCTTCGTTTACCACCCCCCAACATAAGCTGTCCTCGGACTTTACAGAGACTTTGAGATTGCACAATCCACAAGACTTTCAGTGCTTTTGCTCTGTATCTCAACTAACTCTCAAAGAGAGGGAACTTCTTACAAGAAGAAGGAGGAAAAATAAAGTGGAAAAACACCTTGATCAGCTAATTGAGGGAGAACTGGGGCTCAGGCTGCCTCTTAGTTTGGAGAGGGTGTGGAGGTGGCTAATCTGGCCCTGGCCTGAGAGAAATTCCAGGCTGGCAGGCTGGACCGCCTGTCTCCATAGCAACTGTTGTTATTGGTAACCGAATAACCATTTCCTAGAACAGCGGCTGGAGCTGCTGATGGTTTTCCCTTCTAGTTAGAAGTGAGAGGAGCCAGGCTTTTTGCTGATTGATCCTAAGTGCTGAGCTCTTTGCTCCCAAATTGGGATCTTCACTTGAAGCCAACCATTCTGTTTCACCTCTGACCTCTGCCAGCAGAGAGGGTGGGACAAACCGACTTCATGTCTGTTTTCCAGCTTCTTCTAAGAGGTTCAGAAAGGTGTTCAGGGGCATTTAGCTAGCGAGATCTAGAACTTGAACTTTGCCCTGTCTGATTCTGAAACCCGTGCTTGTGACTACAGGGCTGTTGTGACTCTGTCCCTTTCCTCTGAGATCTCATGAAAACCTGATTAGCCTTCTCATGACACCATGAGCTGCCTAGTTATTCGTGAGGACACGTAGCATCTTACAGTGATTCATGGTCTGCACAAGGCTTATTCTAGAAGCTGTCTTACTTGGTTATCCTGCAGTGGGGTCAGTGGGGCCTTAAAATGCTATAGCCCTAGAATTATTAGGGTCATGCTCATCCCGGTCATTGCCTCAAACTTCCTGCTCTCCCTTCTGCATGCTCTCTTCATCCTGAGGAGTGACATGCAGTGGAGCAGTCCTGGCCACTGGAGTGAATTTCAGACCACTCTCATGGAGGAGCTTAGGCTACTCCCATTTGTTACCAAGCCAAAGGAGCTTGCTGCCCAATGCACTAGAAGCCAGTGTGATGACTCTGAGTTTTTGAGAAATGAAAAGCTTTTTCTCTTTTCTTTTTTTCTTTTTTTTTTTCTTAGTTGGAGACTCACTCTGTTGCCAGGCTGGAACGCAGAGGTGCAATCTCAGCTCACTGCATCCTCCACCTCCTGGGTTCAACCAATTCTCCTGCCTCAGCTTCCTGAGTAGCTGGGACTACAGGTGTGTGCTGCCATGTCTGGATAATTTTTGCATTTTTAGTAGAGACAGGGTTTCACCATGTTGGCCAGGAGAGTCTTGATCTCATGATCCACCCACCTCGGCCTCCCAAAGTGCTGGGATTACAGGTGTGAGCCACCACGGCTGGCTGAGAAATGAAAAGCTTTTTAAGTTGACTATCAGGGAGACACGAGTCCAGCTCAAATCTGTCTTCCTGTGCTAGCATTCACAATTTCATTCACAAAGTTGGAAGGGGTGGATTCTGGGAAAGCGGGTGTTTGGTGGAAGGAAAGGGGAGGTCTGGAAAGTCCTCAGGCATGCACAGTTCTCTCTCCATGCCACCTCATGTGCAAATTTGTGGGGAGTGTTAGTGTGAATTGGGCAGTGTTTCATGTTTCCAGACCAGGCAAGGTGGCTCACAAGTGGCTCTATGATCTGGAGAAAGTCAGCAGGGAGGGTTGTGATTTGTAATTATAAAAAATTAACAAACTACATCCTCAATGTGTTTAACTCCTAGTCCCTTTGAAAAGGATCTTTGCGTATCTAATTGACATTTTAAGAGACATATTGGCTAGTTAGACATCAATTGACATCCTTATTAAATATCAATTAACACATATCCTAACGTGAGATTTAATTAGCGTGCTGTAGCTATTCTTTT